CCTGAGCCCTGAGAATTCCCTGGCCAGCTGCCCTGCCAAAAGTGCAGCAGGTGCAGGCCATGCCAGTGGATGATCCCTACAAACCTGGGAAGAAGTTGTAAGGGAAGATTTTTTTAAAAACTCAAGTGAAGTACCAAGTCACCTAAAAATGCTCAGAAATCAGAATAAATCCAAAGGTCAGAGCACATGCAATGGCATATTTCAAGCATTGAAAGAGAAATACTGCCAAACCTGCATTGCTATATACATCAAAGAAACTCTTCAGAATCAAAGTGTTATTCTCAAATTTGGGACCCCCAAAAGACCACCAGAGACCAAGATCGATGTAAGCAGTAAAGTGCCTATTTTGAGCTAGCTGGGTCTTCTGGGCACACACAGCCACTGGTGACGCTGAGAGGCCCCGAGCCCAGGGTTTGCAGCAGTTTTATACATTCTTTGGAGAAGGCAGGGACCCCCACATACATCCTAGCATCTCTTGGCAAATCATCACACACTGTGAGAAAATCAAATAACAACTCTAAAACATGATTAGCACATTCACTGGAGGGAACAAGTTGGGTACTGATGATTGGTTACTACAAGAGGGGGATTCATTTGAACTGATTGGTTTATGCCAAGAGGGGTGTTCTTGATGAACTACATGGTTTTCCAACACCATAAACTACTGGGAGGGTCATCTGGCATCCCAGGTATTTCCCTGTTTCATGCTGATTGGTGGCTGCTAGCGGGTTGCTATGGGTCCCCAGCTAGCCTGTAAGGGACACCTGGCCCAGCAGATCTCTTCTGTTATTTGTAGATAAACCACTTAGCAGGGTGGGAATGTGCCAAGGAGTGCTCTGTGGGTCTTTCCAAGGAAAAAGGTCATGTCCCTTCCTTGGACAGGCTTTGCTCTGAGGTAGAAGCTGGTTTTTCAGAGGGGCACGGAGGTAGGAAAGATGGTGGAATGAGACAGACATCTTTACCCTAAGTACATGTATGAAAACACAAATGGTGTGACTTTACTTGGCATACAACCAGAGACATGAAAAATTGTGCTCTATTTGTGTAATATGAATTGAATTGCATTCTGCTGTCATATATAACAAATCAGAATAAATAAAAATTTAAAAATGCATCATGAAGTAAGTAAAATATAGAAAAAATTATGAGACATTTTATAATGGAATATTGTATGACTGCTAAGAAGAAAGGGAAAAACTATATGTCCACTGAGGTAAGACAATCTCTAAGATATAGGGTGACAAGAACCAAGGGCAGAAGGGTGTACACAGTGCTATTTATTGAAAATGAGGGGATGTATGTGTGCAGAGATGTACTTATAGATGCAATGAACATTTCTGGAACTGGTACCATTATTGCTTCTGTGAAAGTGAGGAAGTGATGGAAGGAGACCTTTTTTTGTTGTTGTTAACCTTATATGCATCCTGTTTAAATATTTATCATCTACACTCATAACATTAAAACATAAGGATGAAAAGCAGTAAAACCAAAACGGAGAAGAACATTTGAATCAGGCTTTACAAGAAAATAGCATAGATCTCTTTGTGGCTCATGCTTACACTACAGCTAGGCCCAGAGATGCAGGAAGCTCCTTGATGGAGTAAGCCACTGAGCAGATGACTCACCTGAAAGTGGCTGTGTTTTGCAAATACTTATCTGCCAGCACTGCTTTATTGCAACGGAGTCCTTGGGCTGGTTCTGAGCCTCTAACTGGACCTTCAGGACAGACACAGGCAGGATCTGGGCAGTGTCATGTAAGCAAGGGGCATAGGAGGAATCATGCACGTGGATACCGCCCAGAGCCAGGGACCTTGCTAGATATGGAGGCCAGCTAGGCAGAAAGCGGGTGGCAGGAAGCTCTGAAACAATTAGTTGAGGTAGGCGCAGTGTTCTAAGTGATTTTTCCTCTGGTGTTTGGAGACATGTTAAAGTGCCTTAGAAAAGTCTACTGATTTGAAAGAGGACATCCCTGTTCTAGTTTTTAGAGGGAATGCTTTCCAGTTTTCTCTGTTTAGGATGATGCTGACCTTGGGGTTTGCTTATATAGCTTTTATGAGGTTGAGGTCTGTTCCATCTATTCCTAGTTTTTCTAGTGTTTTGAACATGAAGGGGTGCTGAATTTGTCAAATGCTGTTTCTGCCTCTATTGAGATGATCATATTATTCTTGTTTTTAAGTATATTGATGTGATGAATTATGTTTATTGATTTCTGTATGTGAGCCCCACTTCATTGAGGCACGCTATCTTTTTAATATGTTTTTGAATGCTATTTGCCGGAATTGTATTGAGAATTTTTGTATCGATGTTCATGGTGGATATTGGTATGAAGTTTTCTTTCCTTGATGTGTGTTTGTATGGTTTTGGTATCAGAGTGATATCAGCTTCACAGGGTTCTCTCCTTTTCATATTCCATGAAACATTTAGAGCAGTATTGTTGTTAATTCTCCTCTGAAGGTCTTATAGAACTCGGCTGAGAATCAATCTGCTCCTGGACTTTTCTTGACTGGTAGACCTTAGGTATTCCCACTACAAAAATCTAACAAAGAAAAGAAAATGTTAACTATTCTGAAGTGATAGACATGTTAGATGATTTGAGCTATTATTTCACAACATTCACATATAGCAAAACATCATGTTATGCAACTTAAGCGTAAATGACCACATGTATTTTGTCAATAAATTTTGTCCAAAAAAAGGGCAGTGACTATGGATTTCTTTCTTGAATGAGTAGAAATTTTCTTTTAAAAAAAATTGTTAAAATCTGTTTTAATTAGTTATACCTGACAGTAGAATGCATTGATGCATTTTGATATATCATAAATAAATAGGGTATAATTCCTCATTTTTCTTCTTGTACATGTTGTCAGATCACATTGGTCATGCAGTCATACGTGTATGTAAGGTAATAATGTCTGTTTCATTCTACTATTCTTCCTATCTCCATACCCCTCCCTTCCCTTCACTCTCTTCTACCTAATCTAAAGTAACTTTATTCTTCCCTAGCACCTTGGCCCTGACTGTGAATTAGCATCCACAAAGCAGAGAACGCATTCGGCCTTTGGTTTTATGGGATTGGCTTATTTCGCTTAGCATGATGTTCTCCAACTCCATTTACCCAGAAATACCATAATTCCCTTCTTCTTTAAAACTGAGTGATATTCCATCAAATATTACATACCACATTTTCTTTATCCAACCTAGGTTGGTTCCATAGTTTAGCTATTGTGAATTGAGCTTCTATAAATAAATCTTGGGCCTCCCAGGAATACCATAACGCCGGCTCTATTGCCCCCAGGGTTAGCATTTACCAAGAAATCTATACACAATGGGGATGAGTCATCTCATTGCTGGTCTTAACAAGACAGGGCCATACACAATGGGGGTGAGTCATCACTGGTGTTGCAAGAAGGCAGCTGAACCAGCTTTTCCAGGTTCTCACAAGAGAGTGGAGAATTTCCTTGGGAGAGGGGTGACAATATGGCATAGGCCTCTCCCCTTCCCGACTTGTCTACCGAGTGTTCCAGGACAGGAGCACTTGGTGCGGGACCCAGAGGACCAGGCCAGGCATCAAAAGGGTCTAGGAGGCCATTGTCAGCGTGAGGCTTTAAGCCTTTCTCCTCCTGGGCAGTGAGAGGACTGACTCATTGTGACCAAAGTCGCTCCTCACCAATGGCTTCCCAATACTGGTCTCATACTTAGTGTGAGATTGCCCCATCTTTTCGGGGAGACCCCTACCTCGAAACTCTCTTGGCTTGGCGATACTCTCACTTTGGGTGAACAGACTTCTTAATGCCCCACATTTGGCGCCAGATGTCGGGGATTTTAGCCCCACCCCACCCCACCCGCTTCCCTCCTGACCTGCAGGAGAGATTGGGAGAGCACGCCCGGACCATGAGGAACCAAGAAAGGAAGGGCCAACTGACCCCTCCCCATCCAGCCCTCCCCCAAGGGAGGACAATCAGACAAGCCAGGGAGACCAGTCAAAGCAGGATCTCAGTTTATTGAGAAAACACACAGAGCTAATACAAGGCACAGGAGCCAATCAGGATAAAGGTCAGCAGGGTGGGGAGAGTTCACGTGTACACCCATCTCACAGGCCATAATGGGAGCCCCCGAGCTGTCCAGAGGGCGGAAGGGTTCTGAGCCTATCCTAGAGATCATCTGGTTTTTCCTCCCAGCCCAGGCAACACCTTCTGGCTGATCCCCAGGCACTTTCTTAGCCACAGGTGGCCCCAGGACCCACCCAGAAGCAGGCAGCAAGTTCGGTTTTTCCTCCTTTCTGATGCAACATGCCCCACATGTTACATTGTGCCCTGTGCCCTATGTCTGTGTTTCCTTTTTCTTGCCATCATTGTCAGAAATTCAGGGAAGTCAATTTTGCCATTATCACCAGCAGCTACTCCCTTAATCCTGTCCTGTAACTCGGACTTCTGTGGGATTCCACCCAAGAGATCATCTCATTACACTTCCCAATTCCTTTGTTAGTATACTATAGTTCCATCCCCGTTCCTTGTCTAATAGTGGGAAAGCTTCTTTGAATTCTGCAATCTGCCCTTCAGCTAGATGGTCAGCCACGCTGCAAGGCTTACCAGTTTCTGAGACTCAACCACATAACCACTGGGCTCATTCGCTCCACTCAGATCCCATCACACTTTTAAAATGTCACATAGCAGGAATAGGATGTTAAACGTCCGAAGATAACACGTTTACATTTATTTTGGTTTAATTGTATAAGTTGTATTTGTTTCCATTTTACATTTTTTTTTCCATTTTACATTCCCGTTCCCCCACCCACCCTGTCTTAAGATGAGGAAAGGCTTGAATTTTAGGCATTTATTGAAATGCTTGTGCATGCCATGTAAGTGGATTAGACTGGTTAGCCAGCACACCAACTTCCCACACAAAGCTGTCCACTCAACCAAGAGGCCCAGCAGTCTTTGAAGAAGCTGCAGCCTGACCATCGCCCAGGAAGGATGAGAAAAGGCAAGTGGCAAGCCGACTCACAAACCCACGCTTGGTCCAGTGCTTTCCTCTTCTTCATCTTTTATTCCCATGAGTCCTAGGCCAGAGAGGGATCCATGAGGGCTAGTGGTTCCTGGCAGGAGGATAACACAAAGGGTACCGGGGCTCAGGCTTCGGTAGAGCCTTCCAATCTTGCGGCTCCAACGCCTGGCTGCACTCTTTGCGTTTTCCGCATGTAAATTCTGCAAGGTCGCCCGCTCCGAGGGAGGAGGTCTCACTCCCAGACCCGCGGGCCTCCTTGATTCAGGTGGTGAGCTCCTAAGCCACGCGTGCAGGTGCCTGGGGGTTAGGGCCTGCCTGCCTTTCAGCTTCCAGTCCTTGCCTGTGAGGACATGGAGGGCCCTCTGGGCATTGCCAAAAGTTTTGAACTTCAGGAAACAGTATTTTTCCTGTCTCC